CCAATGATGGGAAATACTTTTTGGAGAAAGCGGGGAGTAATAACATCATTTGGGGAGCCACAGGGCTTAGCATGTAGCACCAACTCCTCTAAGTCACGCAGAGAAATCGGTGCAAAAGCAGGGAATAAACTTGAGCAAGGAGCATGCATGGCCGGATCAACAATAGGTGGAATCAGAGGCCTCAGGCTAGCAATCTTGTCCAACCCCTTTTGAGCAACAGTGGGAAGGAACAACTCCCTTTCAACAGGAAGAAAGCTCAGGCAGAACCAGACTCAGGGAGGGGAAAGCCATCTGCTGTGGGGGTGATGGGAGAAAGACAGGACAAAAAACACTGTGAAAGAGAGCCAGAGGTGAATAATAACTAATGATTAAACTCAGAATATTGTATAAACACACACTGAGTCAAATAAAATGAGTGCATCATGGGAATTCTCAGCAGCCCAGACTCATTGGAGTGCAACTACGGTAGGATTTAGAGTCACCTGATCCAGCCTTCACTACATGCTTTATCAAAAAGCATTAGGTTTAAACCTAATCTAAAAATTAGAGAGGGTGTCTGTCTCCTGAATCCAAACTGGGAGTTGGTTCCACAGAAGAGCATCCTGAAAGCTGAAGGCTCTGCCTCCTATTCAACTATAAGTAGAGCTCTACTGCTCTATTGAGGTGATATGACACGATATGGTCTTGTTCTGATTGTGTGCATTTATGCATCTCCTAATTTACTCTGGGCCTCAAATGTGAGCAAAACAAAAACAAAATCCCCTTCTGTGACAAACTCATCAGCCATTTATGTATTACTGATCACTGAAGAGGAGATATGAGTCTCCAAATACAAACCAGCAGCTTTTGCTTGAAGAGCTCACAGTGTTTAAGCCCCATCAGCGGTACATTAGGTCAGAAGTGTGACCGCGAGCATGCTTGGTATTTTTTTAGACATTCACAGGGTTGTGAACCATAACAATCTCCTCCCTGAGGATCATACTGTCATTGCAGTTTTATCGTACAATCTGAAGGACAACATTCAGCCTGCCAGCATACCATAGCGCATCTTGCGCAAAGTTTTTTTGCAACACAAATGTCACCTACTACATGCCCTTCTAACTGGGTTTCTTACTGAATTCCCTGCAACTTTGTGCTTTCCCCCTAAATTAAATTCAAATTATATTTTGACACACTGGAAAAGAACAAATATGGCTTCCAGGGAATAATCTAAAACAAGGGGCTGCACTGCAATGCTGCATAAGGTGACAACTTTGAAGGGGAAACAGGCTAAATTTAATTTTTAAATGGCACAACTTTGCATTGCATCCAGTACTTTAATAGGTGAGTTACCTTGCTGATGACAGTGGAGATACACAATCTCCTCCAAACGAATTGTCATAGCATAATCCCAGTAAACACTGAGAGAAACACAAATGGATATTGGTCAGTGAATAAACTTTGTAAACACAATATTTAAGTCTCAGTAGATTGGGCTCTTTTTTTTCTGACCTTTTTTCAGAGTCCAGCTCCCCAACATTGCCATTCATCAGTTGATTTGGTGTCCACTTCAGGGTCATGAGGTCTGCAGTTTGATGTAGAGAAAGGTAGCCTGGAATGGCCTCCATGTCATCTCTCTGTACACACAAAACAAAATGTTAGTGCTGTAGTATTCAGATCAGTTACATATAAACAAATTAACAGGAGGCATCACGTTTCCCACAGAGTAAGCAAGCTTTTCTTAATATTTTCTCTCTCTTAAAATGAATAAATAAAACTAGTTTTGTATGGTTGTTTTGAAAAGGACAGGAAAATCCATACCGGCTGGACCAGGACATTGTTCTTCCCAAACAGAAGTGTGGCTCTGGAGTTTTGGTGAAGTGATTCAACATATTCCCTCACCCACATAAGAGGGCGATCATCCATGCTACCACTGGACTGTCTCTTTTGGATCTGTTAGGGATTAAGAGAAGAAGAAAACACAATTGCATACAGCCTATTGCTGGTTGTTTTTACAAGGAAGCATTCAATTTATTGACTGTCTAACCAAGGCCGGTCTTCTGGAGGGGGAATCCTGCCGACAGTGACCGCTGTGAATACGATGCCTCTGTACAAGCTCATCTGCAGATGGATCAGTCCAGAAATGGTCTGCAGTCTTAACCTTGGTGTACTCCAAAGCACAGGGGCCAACTGTAAAACAAGGTTAATGGGCTTAAAGTAAACATCCGAATAAGTAGCTATATAAACTGACAGCACAGTTTAAAAAAAAAGTACCCAATAGGGATGCAAGAATCGGTCCATCCACAGGATCCATCAGCATGGCTTCTTTGTCATAGAATGAACTGAAGCACACAATAATAACACACAAGTATACATGTGGAAAGACAATAGCGTTAACACCAAGACTGTTTTTTAATTCAGCCCCATGTTACTCATTGCATACCACAGCTCTTGATGACTTCTGTGCAAACAGATAATGTATTAATATTACCATAGAGAGGGTACAAATTAGAACACATGAGAGAAAGAAGCCTAAAAACTTTGGTAGTTACAATACATAGAAATCAGCTGCCTATGGCAAAAAAAATAAATAAATAAAAATTGTGGCATTGAAAAGAAAAGACATTCCAAAGCCTCAAAAGGATTAAAAAATATATAGATAATCCTACCTGCTGTTTTCTACTAAGTACAGGACAATCTTATCTAGGAGCTTTTCCATCAGGGCAGTTCGAATCCACAGGTGTTTCAGCGCTTGAGGAGGAAGGTTAGCCAACTTGGACTGCCGACTGCGGTCAGTACTCAGTGAGGAATTGTTCTGCTTGCTAAAGCAAAAGAAGAAATTTACAGACGATGTCTGCATAGGCTCTTAAAATGTAACAGGATGAAACAGGAATGAAAAATAGCACAAAAGAGTTTATATATCGATATATATGAAAATAACTATAAGAAAGAGTCTGTGGTCTCCCACAGATAAAAGTTTCACCTGTTTTCAATGAGCTGTTCCAGCTCCTGGACCTTGTGACAGAGCTCCGCAGCAGGGGAAAAGCTTTTTGCCACCTTCATAAAGAGTGCCGCAACCTTATTACTGCACAGCAGGCCTGCAATCCTACGTTTCAATCCATGAAGCACACACGCCTCCACTACAGCTATACAAACACACATAAACATGCAGAGACTTAGCAAATATTTGATTTGTATTTATATAAAACATATAGGTATATCAATATATACATTGTTTATTTCAACTTAATCTAATCCATCTTTTATGGATTTGAAGCGGACATGTTTGTATTTGGCCTAAAGCTTTATTTTTCTCTAAAAAGCACAGTACAACTCCCTTTTGTTAAAGGCCTCAGTCTCATGTTTCTTTTACAGAAACAGGCGAAAGCAAGAACAGGTAGCTCAAGGAGAAACAGGCTGAAGTCAACACTGCCTACAGTTGCTAGGATATAAGTGTTGAGAATCATATACGCCTCACTCCTTGTTAGTATCAACACCTTTGAAGGTTCATCCTTTTACTTTATTGATTATAAATAGATGCGACTAATGAAAAGAAATCATTAGGAACAGACTTTTGGGCACTGTGAGAATGAACTCGTAGGAGGTGATATGGCTTGACACAAAGTGAAATCAGCCGTCATTCTGTACTGTAAATGTCAGTATGGATGTGGCGGACGGTACTGTACTATTTAAAACTGAATGTCTTTTATTAGATTAGATACAATACAGAAAACCTATAATACCTTTTTTAGTTGGAGGTAAAGATTATAGCTAAAAGAAAAGACATTGTTCATGTCATCTGCAATATTAACTGAGTAATGGATTGTAATAAAATATCTAATAAAAGCAGGCAGTAGAAAAACATTTACCACAGAAGGATATAATATGGCTGCTGTCTGCATGCACAAATTTCCTCGTTACTGCCTCCTCCATAATTTGTTTCACCTAAAGGAGAGAAGTTCACCGTCAGATACGTCTTAATCAGTCTGACACAGTTACATAAGGTGATAAAGACAAAACAAGAAGCACAGAAGCGAGTGATGTTAGAAAAAGTAATGATGAAGCAGCAGTATGGCAACATAAGACATTTCCTACAAGCAGGTTATAGCATCCTGCTGATGTACGCTGCCAAAACTACCAAAACTACCAAAACTATAGCCTCATCTTCTGCAGTTTACAAAGCCATTGCAAGTGCTGTACAACATCCAACGTGCACTTCACACTTCAAATGATTTTGCATGTAAAGCACATGCAATTTCTGATCTCCTCAATTTGTCTGATTTATTGTAAGCAGTAAAAGCAAACCTTCAAGTTTTTGTTTACATTTTCTAGTGATTCCAAAAGGAATTGTTTCTTGATGTTTTCTACTTGCATTCCTAAACACATTCATCCATCCATCTACTTTTTTTTTTTTTAGCTTATCCAATTAAGGGTTGCAAGTAGCCTGTCTCATGTGTTGTAGGTTGAGAGGCTCTGTGCACCCTGTGCTCCCTGGACAGGTCGCCAATCGGTCTAAATAATCTAAATATATCTAAATAATACGTAAATATGTAAATAAATTCACTAACAATTTATTAACACACTATGCCAAACTGCAAAGTTTGCAATAAGCACACTTTTACAATATAGCTACAATCAAAGCAGCAGATAAAAAAATTTACATTTTTACCCCATTGTATGAGTCAATTTCCAACTTCCCTGTATTATATGTTTCCAATAATCAACCTAGTAATAGCACTGTATAAAGTAAACACCCACACCTTAAAGCTATGTTTGTGTCATAAACAGTGATCTACAAGCAAAATGAGAGAAAAGCTTCAGTGACATCATCTGGGGTTATTTGGTCAAGCTCGACAAAGCCACAGACATTACTGTAAAACTGTGTTGTCAGTTCAAATAACACTTATATACTGTCCTTGAAAAAAAAAAAATCAATGTTGCTCTCCATTTCACTTTAATAAATGTCATATTTTTGAACAAGCTTGTTGTCATAGTTGCAATTATGTTCAGGTTAAAAAAGAAGAAGAAAGAAACTGAGATGAGCATGATCATGACTACACTTTTTGAGCGTGGCATTTTCTCTGAATGTTTATTGTTTGGTCGTGATCCACAAAGTAGTCACGTCTGCTGCTAAGAAACGTATCATTAAGCAATAAAATGCACTAAATTTAAACTGATGCTCAGTGCCCTAGACACATTCTCCCATGAAATTAGATGAAAATCACTTCCATGCTTAAATATGATTGTGCTGGAATTCTGCTGAATGTTCACAATTCAGGGGTTATTTATTGCTGCTGCAACCAGACCTCACGACTGTCCTGTCCTTCTCCTTCACATGAGTAAACAACATGAAAGGCACGCTTTGTATTAATTACCCATCTATATAAAGCAAAGTGAAACATTAAAATGCAGTTTTGCTTTTGTTTTTCTTAGATTTATATATCACAGCTAAGCCACTCCTTACTGCAGGATCCTGTATCAGTGCCTTAGGTTTTTGAGAGGCAATGAGTCACAGGTGAGGGGGAGAACACACACAGAGTGGGTCTAGAAGTACCCTGCTTGAGTAAAAGCTTCATATTTCTTTGCCTGCATGAGGAATCGTGGAGTCACTGTCCAGTTTATAAGGGTGGTGCATTGTGCCGCTTTCTCTGACTGATTTGCAAATACATTTAAACATATTTATGCTGTCATAACCTATATTATGGCAGCAAGAGAAGCTACTGCAAAAGCACCTATTAAAAACGCCAAATTAAGCAGATGGTTGGGTCACACCTTTAAATTCTGACTAACAGGGCGGTGGGTTGAAAAGAATATGCCAGAAAACAGGCTTAAACAATCTGTGCGTGGCTTCCTGATTGTGGTGGGTTTCTTCCACAATATAAAACCATCAACATCATCAGTATTATCGTCATCATTACCATCACCACCGTCGTCATCACCATCTTACGCCAGTCCACCAGCAGTCACAAACAGACCGGTATCCTGCACAGCCCCACCGGCAGCCTAATTGCGTCTAATCACATTATGTAAAATAAACCGTCAGTTTTATCATAAACAGGCCTACGGTGGAGTCAGCCCTGATGAACGATAACCACACACACACACACACACACACACACACACACACACACACTGAGCATATAGCGCCCGTAAACATAAAATGTGATGCGCGCAAATGAAATAAAATGCACCAACCTCCTTCTTCACATTGCGCAGCAGTTTCTGGCGCGTCTCGGCCTCTGCCACGGGAGAAAACATAATGAGTTATGCTGATCAGATGCTGTTTTGGAAATTGATGGTGATGCGCTCACGAAAGAGGGAAATAGCGGCGTCGGTACCTCCCATCGCTCCTGACAGGGTGCAGCGGCTGACACGCACAGCTTTCTGGACGGTCTTGACGGTGATTTAGGTAAGGCTGCTTTACAGGGAGAGTCAGTCCGGGATGTACGAGGTGTTCTTAACGACTACATCAAACCTATCTGCTACCTCACCGTGAACCACCACCCCTTTAAAGTCACAGTACCCTGTGCGTTTAATGTACACAACGACAGTCTCCCCTCTCCCCCGCGGGGAAAAAATGCAAGGTGCACTCACAGTCAAAAATGTATCTGTAAAAAAATATAATAAGAAACTTTTCCTAGAATGTTCATTGGCCGATTATTATTCATGCAGGTAATGAATGGGTTGTGGGGAAATGTATCTTTTCAATCTTTTCTTTCCCCTTGCATTGTACATAATGATCAAGGAAATGATCAATGAGAATGTGCCATCCCATGATATGCAATACCGTGTTTCCAGTGTTAATTATATTTACTTGCTTATTTGTTCTTCCATATCATTTCTTGATGACGTTTGATTTGTGATTTGTACTGCCTAGGTTTCCAGTACAAATCACACCTCCCAGAGTTGTTAACATTTTCTAGAGGATAATATAGACATACAGAAATGCAAATACAGAATACATATATGGCACAAAAAGTACGGAAATTAAGGAAATTTGTGTTTGTTTGTTTTTTTTATTTCTTGGATGGAAAGCCTGATTATGTCCGCTTAAATGGTGCCATAACTGTAAAGGTAAATGCATTTTTGGGTTGAGCACCAGAGTTATAGACA